AAAAGTTTTTAATTATCATCCCTGACCGTTTTCGACGATGATACGTCTAACTAGACCGTTCAAATGGAGAAAAAAATATATTTCCACAAAAGTGGTAGAAAGCTGGCGGATTTACCCAGAAGCGTCTGGGAAAACTCATGCAACACTTAAGTCTAAAACGAAAAACACGTCTTAAGTATTTTTTTAAATATACAATATTAAAATATAACTGTAATCAGTTATTTTTGATAATTTTTCTATCATCTAGAAAACAAATAAAAACCTTGAAAATATATTAGAAATAAAAAAAGAAATTTCGGTAAAATGGTTTGCATATTTTTAAAGCCCCATCACTTCAGATATCGAATCAAGAGATACGGATCTCTTCAAAACCACGAATATTCTCAATTCGAGTTAAAATCTGAAGCAGTTCACGGCAGAAAACTCATCGGAAAAACTAACTCTGGAAAGAGTGAAATCCTAAATATTTTCAAGAAATCGAATAAGACTGTTTCACATCCGAAAGTAAATTCTCATAGCTACGAGAGAAAGTAAAAAAATTGATCTATTGGTCAATAGCTATAACAATGTTTTACGAGAAAGAGGAACGTAAGACACTTTCCTGTCTGTAGTCACTACATGTCTGAAAACAAGACGTATTTCGCATCTGAATAAGACTTAAGACGGATAACATGTCTCGTTAGACACATGGCATTTTTTACAGTGTGTAGACACATAAAATCATCATTGAATGAAAAATTACGTATGGCCTCTAACATAAGAAAGAGGGCGCTCCGTACCGCTTACCAAAGAAACATGCTTGCATATTTTCATTTGAATGAAATAAAAAGCGAATGTGAAAATATTGTCATTATTTCGACTTTACCCAAACAGATAAAGTTTTTCAAAAACGTGTTTAAACACGCAATCGAGAAGCGCGATTGCGGGTCATTAACGCTCATTAATGAAACGGAAGAAATGAGTTTTATACGCCGAATTTTCACTTTCTGAACGCGAAAACGCATAGAAACTCCAATTTTGAGCGTTTAAACGAATTGGTTTTTAATTTATCGAATAATTGTGCGGTTCATCAAGTATATGATAATGTATTCAAAGATACACCTGCTGCAGACGTTAAATTGATTGTTGGTAATAAGAATCGTCGTCCGGCAAAAACTGAACTCACTTGTAAACGACCAAAACAATCCTTACTTACCAATAAGTCACTCAAAAGTAAGCCATCTAAAGTAGAAATCAATAGAGATTAATCGACACACAATATTTCATTTTATTCTCTCTTCCTAGAACGACAAAGAAAAAGACAACAATCCCGAAAAAAAAAATACATCTGATCCCACGAAGAAATAATCAACAACATCGGAAACACAATACATCGGTCTTCAAGTCACCACAAAACATAAACAACTCCAAAACAACTGATTTTGATGCTCTTATTAAACTAAACTTTTTTAAACAAACTTATGAGATAAATTTCACCTTCAATAGTTTCCAAAAAAAAGCATATAAAAAAGATCTAAAACAAACAACTGAATATCAATTACTATTTTAAAATTGATTCCTTTTCTGTTTCAGATACTATAAATATGACCACTATATATTTATCAAGACTCAATAATGACGGGGCAAAAAAACCAACTACAATAGCGAAACATCAGTACTCATTCAATTAGCTGCATTTGGGATAAAACAATGTTACTGCTTATATCAACTGGAACAACAGCATTATCTAACCAACGAAAAAAAAACCAAAAAAAAATCAATTCAAACAAACCCAATCACACAACAGCAATATCCTTCATTCAACAACGATCACCAGCAGAATAATGATTTGTGAATTGATTCTTCTATTACATTATTGTCATTTATAGATAATTTTGTAAATTCTTGAAGATAATATTTGTTTTGAATTTTCTTTCGAGAATAATTCAGAATGATTAAGCTATCTGATGATTCCTTTAGCCGAGATGAAATCTAGATAGTGGTAGCTTATTCACACTACTGATTTGTGAATTGATTCTTCTATTACTTTATTGTCATTTATAGATAATTTTGTAAATTCTTGAAGATAATATTTGCTTTGAATTTTCTTTCGAGAATAATTCAGAATGATTAAGCCATCTGATGATTCCTTTAGCCGAGATGAAATCTAGCTAATGGTAGCTTATTCACGCCCACACCCACACCACACCCTCAAGATGCGCAGAGTTACAAGATATCGTGTAGGATCTGCATTTTGAAAAGACAGACAGTGCTGAAAAATCATCGGTCAAATATAATCGATTCCCCATTTTACACGAATTTGGTGAAATATTTTGTACGGGAAATAGTGTGGATAGATTATTCGCAGATTATTCAAAAGATTCCAGGATTCATTACTGGTGCAACGAATTTATTGGTTTATTGGTGATTCAAAATGTCGTGCGATTACATATCGGAAAGAAATTCCTTTAGAAAATCTACTGATTTTGATACTTTTGGTAGAAGTTCCATATAGAATCGCCGAAATAAGGCGCAAAACTAATATTGGGCCTATCGCCAAAACCGAAGCTGACGACTGATGTTTGATAGCCATTGCGCTTACCCGTGTCATACTCTTGAATCCAAGGACCGCCAGATGATCCACCTCCCAAACGACAGGGAAGTTCCACACCATTAAAGCCATTCAGTGCCGAGGCTGAAGTCGTACCAGTACACATGCTCATAGTTTGACCATTATTTATGCGCACAGGGTAGCCAAAAACATTCACAAAAGCGTGTTTCTTCCAGTTGGAGGTCATCCCTAAAGATCCTGTAAACTCGTCAATGTGTTCTCCATTACTATTGGTTTCGACCAATACGACGGCCACATCATAGTCATAGTCCTCATATTGTCTCCACCCATTGAGAGTTGCAACCTTACGCCATACCCACGAACCTAGAGGACGTGAACCACTTGTGTAGCGTGGTACAAAAATGAAATTTTCGCCCCACGACTGCGTATCAAAATCATAGACGCAGTGGCCTGCCGTGAGCAGCATGTCTTGATTGTCAGCAATGACCACCGAAGCGGAACATACATAATCTGCGTGATTCATTTCAAAGAAAAATTTGCCAACAGCCGATGGAAGAGTCGATGATCTCGACTGAGAGGAGCCGCCCACAAGTGTACCGGGCACGGATCGACGAATCGCAGCTCGTTGTCGAGGTTTCTCTGCAATTGTTTTCAGAACATTCGAGCTGTTGACTATTAAGAGATCCATCGAATGAGCCAAGGCCATCCGTTCTGGAGTCCAATAGTCGATGATAGATCGGATGTGAGATTCACGAGTCATCCCGCGAGGAGTTTGTCGTTCAATGCTACTGTCACGTGCATGATTGTTTACTCCACGAACATGGACCGTAGTAGTCAGGAGAGTAATGATGATAAGAACAAGTGCCCACATTGTGTGCTAAAGTATCATCGTCAGTCATATTCTTTTATATCAGGAATTAATTTTCTAACTCACTTTTTGCTATGAAAGCAATTTGGACGAGTAATGCAATGCGAATATATTTGCTTAATGGCACAGAAAAGAAAGAACAACATATCCATAAAGCTTAATCCATGTAAATATTTTTTTCTCTGAAAATGAGTCTCAATTAGGGATAATCATTTAGTCTTGCTTTATTAAAGAAAGATAAATGATTGAAAAAAACATCATTATTTATTTTTTTTAAGATGAATGATTTACTAATCTTAAGTTTATAGATACAAAGGATATATTTAGCTTTATTCTTTATTATAAAGGAAAATGACGATGAAGAGTAATCCGCTTTCTGCATCGCATTTTATTTGCGTCTTAACGCAGTTTCAAGCTGAAACAGATTCAAACGTGGACGCTCACAAACCGCAGCGAGACGCATTTCGAACTAAAATCGCGTCTTAACGTGATTGATTCTGTTCCCATAAATGCATGGCAGTTTTAGGAACCATGCACTGGTTGATGGCCAGTATAGTACTTGTAAACGTTGTGGACTCAGCAGGTTCACAAACGAACTTATGAAAGGGCCTTCTTAACGTCCATTTCAACAGAGCTTAGGCTGCTCTTGAGTAGTATATACATATATTTGATAGTTCTCGCTGACGCTTTCATCTTACACAAAACTGACTGGTTTCATGGGTTTCTGGTAATTTTTAGTTTTATGATGTATCGATATATTCGACGCTGCACCTTAAAGAATAGGGGAACATTCATGAATTTGTTCCAGGGTGTAGGTGTGGGTTTGTCGCCAAAAAAATACTTATATGGGCACGCCGCATCCACACCCACGAGTGGGATAACTCACTAATTTCAGAAGGGTAGCTTTCTCAAAATGATATTCGCTTGAGGGTGTGGCGTGTGGGTGTGGGTGTGTTTTGAAGCATACTACGACGCGTTTCGATCTTGCTTAAGGATCTCACCAGGTAGTTCTGTCTTTTGTAATTATTCTAGTGATTCGAAAATCACAAATAAATTACGTTACCGACATACTTATCAAGAATAATTCAAGAAAATACAAGAGACTCCAGGGTAATAGTAGGTATCGTTAAGGAAGGGTGTGTTTTAAAGCATACTACGACGCGTTTCGACCGTGCTTAAGGGTCTCATCAGGTAGTTCTATCTTTTGTAACTATTCGAATGAATCTTAGATGATAAATATAATTGCTTAATCAATACAGGACTTCGAAAGTTTTGTGAAAAAAAACTCGAAGTAATTATTGATACCGGTATATTAAAGGCGTATTTTAGCATACTACGACCGGTTTCGTCCTTGTTTAAGGGACTCATTAGGTAGGCTATATCTTTGCAATTATTGGAACGGTTTGAAAATCAGAAATAAGTTACGCTGTCTATATATCTTGCAAGAACTGTTGAAGAAAATTTAAAAAAAATTCAAAAGGACAGTGGATATCGTTCAGGAATGGTATGTTTTATAGAGCATACTACGAAGCGTTTCGATTTTGCTTAAGTACTTTTAGGGTTGCTTTTTTTGTTGTAGTTGTTCGAATAATTGGAAAAACGTCAATAAAGGACGGGGGCGTATAAGATACCCTATCGGCCCATTTCGATTTTTTCAACTAAACCTAGTCAAATTGTATATCAAATGAAAGATGCCGTTGAGACAAGCATTTTGATACTAAATCTGTCAAGAAAAAAATGAATTTCAAAAAAGTTATGGGCACAAACAAAAGTTGACTATTTCACTATATCTCTTGGAAACATTCTTTTATTTTCGACACAACTATATCACAATAGAACTGTTCTCTTATCTACCATTCGATAGACATTTTTAAGCGCTACAAAATAGGGGAACTAGAAAAGTAAAAATAAATCAGAAAATTGATGATCATTGGGCAAAAACCCTCACAAACTATCACTTTTCCATTTTTCTTCATATTTTGACGAAAATTTTTGGCGAAAATTGAAATGAGCCATTTTTCTTAACTATATCAATCGATAGACATTTTCGAGCGCTACAATATGCAATCGTTATGAAAGTCAAAAAACATTGGCCACTTGATGATCATAGCCCAATTACTTTTATAATCTATCTTTTTTTTTATTTTTCTTCACATTTCGACGAAAATTTTTGGCGAAAATTGAAGTGAGCCATTTTTCTCATACATATCATTCGATAGACATTTTCGAGCGCTACAAAATAGAATGTATTTGAAACTGAAAAGATGTTATCATTAGGGGGAAAGATCGAAAAATTCTAAATAGATTTTATAGTCGGTTGCTTTTGTCTATTTTGTTTGCATCAAAATGTATATGTTATGAATAAATAAGTGTTTTATGACATCGGAAAAATGAATATTATGAGTTTCGATTATGTATATTGGATGTTGTCACGTCATCTATTATCTGTATGTAGATGTTAACAGTTCAGTTGCTAAGTTCTACTAGAAAAAGTTAGAAAAATTATATTTTCACATCTTGTTCTTTTACTCTTATTAGCTGTTATATTTATAGTGAACAGATTTACATGTGAGGAAGGACTTTGATACAATATTTTCCTCCTTTTTGTCCATGTGCGTGTATTCTTTTATCCACCGTGGCTAGTATGTTACATCGAGTCAAAAATGTCTGTTTTTTTTGTTCGTTATTCTTTTGTTTCGTAACTGCTGATGAGAGATGCCTAACACGCCTCGTGAAAAATGTGTGATGTGTGAAAAAAGTTTTGATCAAGTCGAAATACGTACGATCGGAGACGGGCTTTTACGTGTTTATGTTGCTGTGCGCGCGTCAAAGCGTATATTTTCAGAAGAGTATATTTGTCAACGGTGTCGATGGCAATTTTTCAATTGGTTACGTTTGATGGAAGGTGACTTTGATCGATTTTGTTCACGTGACAAAAGTGATAATGAATTCTTAACCAATGATGACGATAAAACTGTAATATATATATTTTTTCTTTCCTATGCTATAGCAATAATATTTAGGCCATGGTTGTTGATAACTATGAGGAACGAATTATGGAATCAAGCGTTCAAACTGATCCGCAGACACCAAGAATTAGTATTCCTGTTTTTAGGTGCTCAAAAAGTCATCAGTGAGCTATTTTTTACCTTCATGCTTGATAGATTGTTTTATTTGTTCAGATCTTGTGTTGTATGTGGTATTGAGATAATATCGGCTAAAGTGCTATCATCTGTCCAACGGACGATGATCTTTTTGAAACGTGGTGTTTTTGTTTCTCCCGGATCGCGTTGTTGTTCTGAACATGTAGTCAAGAAACAGCTCACCGTTGAATCTTTCGATAAGATTTGTATATCTAAAACTGATTGTTGGACACTTGATTCATTCGGATTACAAGTATTGCTCACGGATATACGATCAATGTTGCTTCAACAAAACAGTTTTAATTTTGATGATCCAACATCGTTGAACGAAGAAGCATACAAAACTATTGTCGGACTGACAAAAGGTATTCATATGTGAAACGCTTATATTTTGAAAAATGAATTCTAAAAGTTCCTATTTTGAACAAATGATTCCACGTTTATCAGTTGAAGGTTGTCTGAATGAAATTTTCTTACTTTTTAAAGAAAAGTTTCAGCTTTTTTAAAGTCAATTTAAATTAATCACATATCTGACTCTTACTGTATCGTTTTACGTAGCTAAAGGCTTCACTATAGAGAAACATAGTGAATATAGTTATTTTATGGGTATGAAATGAAAAAGTCAATTTCAGAATATTAGATAGAAAAGAAAAGTCTGACTGTAGTTTCTTGTTTCATTATTCAGAAATAATCGAAGGTTGATTTTATCCTCCGACTGACAAGTAGAATTGCTCGATTGTCATGAATTGAGTATGTTTAATTAGTTTTTTCAATGATTTCTGATTTCCTTCACAATAAATTCAATTTATTTAGTCATTTTAATAATTATATTACAGATCAATTCAATGATCTTATTGGAACCGTGTCCTCGATGAGAAACTCTCATACACGTTCTATTCGTACAGCTGTAGCAATATTTCTCGCAAAGATGCGTCTATCTTTGAGCAATCGACTATTAGCCATTCTATTTCATATAGATAATAAACGCAACGTCTCTCATATCATCAGTCAAGTACGTATAGCATTGATGAAAGATTTTGTTCCGGTTCACTTGGGTCTTCATCATATTGATCGAGTAACCGCCATTAATCAACATCAAACTGCGATTGCCACAATCCTTCACACTACGAAACCTCAACAGCTTTGTGTGGTGGCTGACTCAACATATCTGTTTATACAGAAATCGAGCGACAATAAGTTTCAAAGAAGGTCTTATTCAATGCATAAGCATCGACATTTGGTTAAGCCGATGATACTTACTACCACAGTGAGTTATTCATGTAACATGAAAAATAATTCAAAATATGAGTCCGGATTTTTTAAACTCATTAATTGACTTCTCAATGATATTTTTTCTGTAGGACGGTTATATTCTATGTGTGATGGGTCCCTTCCTATCTGACTATAAAAACAACGATGCATCAATATTTAAGCATTGCGTCTATAACAATGAACAAGATATTCTGAATTGGCTACACGATGATGATGTTTTAATTCTCGATCGAGGTTTTCGTGATACGGTTCGAGCAATGAAACAATTTGGGTTTCAGGTCGCTATGCCCAGTTTTCTAAACGGACGAAAACAATTTTCCCTCGAAGAGGCGAATCTCAATCGTTGCATTACTAAAGTTCGATGGATAGTAGAGAGTGGTAGGGCTTATGCGTAAGCAACGTTAGCTAAAAACTTTTTTATTCAGTGAATGCGCAACTCAAGCAATGGAAATATTTTAGTCAAACTATTCCGAACTCATCTCTGTGCTTCCTTAGTAATTATATTGATATAACTTGCGCATTAATCAATGCTTATGGTTCACGTTGTGTGCAAGATATACATTCGGGCACTGAAATGGCTACTCAAATGCTTCAAAAGTGTCAAACAACAAATCCTGTTCCATTGCGTCTTCTTGAATTGCTAGAAACAAAATTGCAGTGGAAAAAATACGACGCGCAACTGTTAATTTTCCCAGAACTCACAGAACAAGAGCTACGAAACTTATGCTACGGTAAAAAAGTGATTTATTTAACCTAACCTAAAATTTGTTTTATAGGAACTTATCAAATCAAACAAGCGAAATCCTACATTAGAGAACATCTCACGCAATCTCCTCTTGTGGACAACGACATGGAATTTATCATCGAACTTTGTGCACAACACAATGATCTTGTACGAGCTCGCTTTGAATCCCGTCATTGTAACAACAAAAATCACATCGCTACCGTACAATTCAAGCTCTATACAGAGTCCCCTATTTCTGGCTGGTATTGTACCTGTGCATCAGGGTGGCGTGATGTGGGATGCTGCGCTCACGTGGCGGCTTTGCTATGGCATCTTGGTGTTCGACGAGCAAACATCAACGAAAACACTCACCCGCTTTCAGCTGGTCACCTTTTTGCGTCGATAGACGACAGCATGCAATTTTCAGAAGTAGAGGAGAGCGATGAAGATCAGGACGATAATGATAACGATAATCATGTATATAGTGTTGCTAGCAACAGTACCAATAGTGATTATAGCACTACTGATGAAGAAGTCGTCGATTGAGACACTTCAAAATCAAGACGTTTCTATTTCACGAATCTTTTCCACTCATCACATGTAAATCTGTTCACTATAAATAGAACAGCTAATGAGAGCAAAAGAACAAGATGTGAAAATATCATTTTTCTAACTTTTTCTAGTAGAACTTAGCAACTGAACTGTTCACATCTACATACAGATAGTAGATGACGTGACAACATCCAATATACATAATCGAAACTCATAAAATTCATTTTTCCGATGTCATAAAACACTTATTCATTCATAACATATACATTTTGATGTAAACAAAATAGACAAAAGTAACCGACTATAAAATCTATTTGGAATTTTTCGATCTTTTTCCCCCGATGATAACATATTTTCAGTTTCAAATATATTCTATTTTGTAGTGCTTGAAAATGTCTATCGATTGATATAGATGAGAAAAACGATCCATTTCAATTTTCACTTAACATTTCTGTCGAAATATGAAGAAAAAAAAAAGATTGTAAAAGTAATTGGGCAATGATTATCAAGTGGCCAATGTTTTTTGACTTTCATAATGATTCTATATTGTAGTGCTTAAAAATGTCTATCGATTGATATAGATGAGAAAAATGGCCCATTTCAATTTTCGCCAAAAATTTTCGTCGAAATATGAAGAAAAATGGAAAAAATGATAGTTTGTGATGGTTTTCGCCCAATGACCATGAATTTTCTAATTTATTTTTACTTTTCTAGTTATCCTATTTTGTAGTGCTTAAAAATGTCTATCGAATGGTAGGTAAGAGAACAGTTCTATTGTGATATAGTTGTGTCGAAAATAGAAGAATGTTTCTAAGAGATATAGTCAAATAGTCAACTTTTGTTTGTGCCCATAACTTTTTTGAAATTCATTTTTTTCTTGACTGATTTAGTATCAAAATGCTTGTCTCAACGGCATCTTTCATTTCATATACAATTTGACTAGGTTTAGTTGAAAAAATCGAAATGGGCCGATAGGGTATCTTATACGCCCCCGGCCTTTTATTTTTTCAATTAAATAATACCAAAATTTTATTTTTTCATTCGAGTAATAAATATTTTTATTTCAAACAATAAATAATTTCAAAATAACTCAAATTTTATTTTCATTTCACTACTAAATAAATTAATTTTACTAATAAATATTTTTATGAAAATGATACAAAATTTTATTTTTTCATTTAAGTTATAAATATTTTCAAAACGACACAATTAATTTTTTTCACTTTAATAATTAATATTTTTTGCGAAAAATAATTTTTATTTAATTCATTTATTTTCATTTAACAAATAAATAAAAGAAGAAGAAGAAAAGAAACATGACGTAATTTTATATTTTAGCCTTTTTCTTTCCTTTGAAGCGAAAGAGTAAAAGAAAATCTCGTTTTTTTGTTCATTGATTTCAAAGTATAGAAAAAGAAACGAACAAAGAAAAAACAATTCATAAGTCTTATTCGATAGAAAATCGTTGAACACGATTATTCACATGTCCGACGACATAGAGACTACCATGTCGATCGAAAGACAAACCAAGGGGGTAGCTGAGCTGATTTGCTCCTTCTCCTTTGCCATTTCCACCCACAATTACAGTGCCTTGTTTCTTGTCTCCTTGAGTCCAACGCATTACACGATGATTCCCCGAGTCTGCTACATAGCGTGTACCCAACGTATCAACGAAGATTCCATTAGGATAAGACAATTGTGTCAGAGCATTCCGTTTGTCTTGTCCTCCTGCGGCCACAATCCCTTCTTTTGCACCTTTATTCCATTTCGTTACACGATGATTGTTGTTGTCTGATACGTACACTGAATGATCTCGATCGATAAAGAGATATGTCGGTCCGTCGAGTTGATTGGGACCATCACCTTCACCATTTCCACCAGCTACGAGAGTGTAATTCTTCTCACCCAATTGATATCGTCTTACGTCATGTTTTCGTTCGTCAGAGACGTAGAGATATCTCTGTTCATCCATAGCGACTCCATAACAATCGTTGTTGTCGATGAGTATTTCACCTTGTGTTGTACCACTACGACGAGACCATCGTACAACTCTTCGATTCCCTTGATCACAAATAATGAGACTATCCGTCTCTTTGTCAATTAATACATCAGTTGGACCATTCAATTGATGTAATCCATTTCCTTCGTCTTTACCACCAGCAACAACTTGTCCATTCGTTGTATCACCGTTCTTCCATTGCATGATACGATGATTCACGTGGTCCGCAATAACCACTGTTTGATCATCATCAACGAAGAGACCATAAGGCAAGTAGAGTTGATTAGTGACATCCCCTTGCCCGTTACCTCCAGCAGCAGTCACTCCGTCCTGCTTCCATGTGGCATTAGCAGGAATGTTAACTAGAAGAGAAAACGTATCAGAATAGAAGGAGATCTTTTTCTCTCTCGGGTATCAAGTAAAATTCTTTGAATAGATCATTCTTTTTTGCTAGAAATTCCTCAGAATAATCTATATACTGAAAGATATAGAAATCTAATGCTCTTTTCTTTTTGTTGTTTCCAATTATATACACTGTAAACTAGAAAATACATTATAGTGTATTAATGAAAGGTATTCTTGAAAACAATACGATATTCAATAAGATAGAAATTGGAAATTTTCAAATGTATAGAGTAAGATTTTATCCTCAAGAGAAACAACAATTAACTATATTGTTGTCTTCAGCAGAGATGCCAGGTGGGTGTGGGTGACCCATGGTAGCGGCGGGGCCAGGAATTTCGAACTGAGGGGGCTCAGCCCCAACCTATGAAAGTTTCATATAATACAGTGCAAGTCTTTCGAATCCATTATACTATCTAAGAGTGCTTTTTTAATCTGAATAAAGAATCAAAACACGCGAATTCACGTTTAAAAAATATTAGTTATATTATATTTATTGATAATATCTTAATACACATATACAACTTAAAGCAATAAAATTCTGCAATTTTTATGGTTGCTCGAAAATTTATCAATTATACACGTTCATAATTTATCTCAAAATCTCGCTCAATAGCCATTACTGTTAAATCACTTAAACATTCATTTGTCATTGAATTTCGAAGATAATTCTTAATTATTTTTATGTTTGAAAAAGATCTCTCACAAGTTACTTGTGAAATTGGCATAGTTATATGGCATTGGTTATCATTTTTAACGTTTGGGGAAATGCATCTGACATTGAAATTAATTCATTATACAATTCAATAACATTATTGATTTTTTTCGATTGAAGCATGGATTTAATAACAAGAAATTCATTTTTGAGTGCACTCGAATCTCTCCACCAATATGAAAGCAAAATTCATCGATAGCATCAATATTAAGAAAATTGGTACTATTTGGATAAACGGTAGAGATACTTTTCATCAATGATAATGTTTTCGATGAAAATCTATCATTTAGCTCTACCAACATGCAATCAATAACGTTTTTTAGATTGCATTTGTGGAGATTATGATTTAGGTTTAGGCAAGATTGGCAGAAGAGAGTTTTTGTATAGTTACGGTAAACAACCAATTAGAAACTGAAGGCAAATCTCTACGACGTAGTTATAGTAGTGTCGCAGTATTAATATCGGAAAAAATTAAACTCATTAAGAAATTTCTAAAAAAACATCTGAGGGGGCTCAGCCCACACTAGTCCCCCCGTGGCGCCGCCACTAACCCGTGGGTCAACCCTAACCCAACCCAATGTAGCCCTCCGATAATTTGAGAATTTTAAACCCTGACCCATCTGTCAAACTTAACGTGTATGAACCCAATCGAGACCAATCGAGACCAACCCTCGGGTTAGCCCATGAATAATATATATATTGTAAAATCATTCACAAAAAGTGTTTTTTGAATGCAGATCAGAGATGCGATCGGTTAAGGTTTTTTTTTAACCGAACCGAACCGAAAAATTTGTACAATTTTCAAATTTCTTTAAGAAATTTCTTTATCCAGCTTTAGTAAGAGAAAATATTACAATTATAAAAAAAACGAGAACAATGCTAGGAGCTTTTTATTTTTTATTTTGTGGACCTCGTATATTTTTCCGAAGAAAATAGAGTGTAAGTTTAAAAGCGAGATTTTTTGCGGCTCCCCCCACCCCTCCATTTCAGAGATAAAACGTTAAAAGTGATCGTATGTACGTTCACTAATTAGAAAAAAAATGTAGTACTGTTCGATAGCTTGAGTTCACCACTACTTATATCACTAATTAAAATGAGATTTTTGCTTTGTATTTTTGAGTCATGCGAGTCTATATTTTCTATATGAACATATAATAATTATATAACGATTTATTTCTTATATGAGCATATTAGAATTACGTTTTTATTATTTTTCTATCTTGAGGGTGTCAATTTACAGTTGATTTTATTTAAATTTAACTTCGTGAAAAGTTAATTCTAAATTAAATTGCTACGAGGAAAATACGTGACTTCAACACAGTAGTAAATATACTAAACGAGAGGAAGAAGACCTAGTATTTTAAAAGTTAATATTTGTTCATAATAGTCAAAATTTCTCTACAGATTATGCAGGCTCTGGCACCTTTCTTCTTCAAAAACATCGGGATGCTCATAACTATATATATTTCATAACAAAATTCGTAGAAGAATGACTATATAGCTTTAACTTTATCAGATATTTGACTTTAAATAGTAGCAATCAAGTCAAGAACTATGTTTATCTACTCGATTTCAAAATTTAATTAAATTTAACTTTTCTTTTAAAAAAGAATTTTATTTATTAATAATTTAAATGTGACACCCCTATTTCCTATGATCACAAAATATTTTTTTGCTAGAATCTTTTTCGCGTTCTCTTAAATCTAAGTAATTAGAAGATTTCTGTGCCATTAATTTGCCGTTTCAGATATTTAGAGAAGCACACATCCTTCCTTATTCACAGATTTGCGTTTTGCTTTTTATAGAATTCCCTTTTGTTCATGAGAATGATAATCTGAGTACATAGGTGACGGAAAGATTTCAATCTAGGGTAGGCTCAATTTTCCAGCGAAATGATGTCAGGAAGATAGTGAGAAAATGGCGCTCATCATATTTTTTCAATGCTAGACGCCATACACTTTCCTGCTAGATTTTGATTCTGTATAAGTGTGATAGCTTTTAGAGTGCTTTATTTTTTTGAGATAAAACAAGAAATAACGAAGTATCACAGAACAACTACTTAAAAAATAAAACGAATCTAAAATATAATAAACCCACACAGTACCAAAAAATGTTTTTCTATTTTCATTCTTTGAAATAAAATCAGAACAGACGCTCTTTAAATCAAGTAAATCGAATTTATCTTTATGAATGTGAGGAATAATAACGTGATTTAAACGTTGTTGACTCATTGTGCAGCGTAAATACGTTTTTATTCTATTAAGAACACAGAGCGATCTTTCGGCAGTGGCTGTTGTTACAGGTACTGTCAAATATAATGTTGTGTAATAATGCGTCATCTGTCATGACAACAAAAACTGAACTATAAGAAGATACGTTTACATGTAATAGAGCCTACCCAAGCGTTTAATTCTTATAGTTTGAGCCTATCCAAGTCTACCCACGCCAAATGGCTCCGCCGCCTATGTTAGTAGTAAGCGAGCGCACTTAAATATTACAACAGTTGTCGAGGAGTTACCTGGAGATTTCACACCAAATCAGAATGTTCGCGGAAAATTATCAAGATGCCCTCGGAGAGACTATAACATTAGTTGATCACATCAGCTCATGCAAATCACCAACGTAATCTATATATGAGTGTATAATTATGGATAGATAAATGCATAGACATAGGAGTGGCCACTCGTTATATAACGCGCATTTTCCCTTTTTCAACAGATAGGGAAATATAAAATGAAATCGAGAAAGAGAAAAGAGCGAATATATAAAAGGACGAGAAATTGGTGGGTGTGAGTGGGCATTTTTTTAGTTAGGGTAGTAACAAGAAGGAGAATACTTAGAAGGTTAGAAACAGTAGTTACATAGTTAGAGATATCAAATGAAAGATAAGGATCATTACCGTGGTACTGTTGTATCACAATCATTCTTTTTATAATTTACGTCTCAACACTCAACTTATCTCATTTATACCAGTTTATTGTTCATTGTGTGTATTCATCTTATTATTCAAATAAACATCAGTGAATTCGTAACGTTATATTTTAACTCATTGATTTATCTACGAATAGGTACTGACCAAAAAAAATATTTCGTTACAATTTCCTATTTAGAAAATCGCACACATTTCTTACAATCTAGAATATGCTTGTGTGCCAAGAAGTACGTTTCTCGTAAAGACGAGATTAGATAGGGGTTATATAAACCACTGGACGTCCGCTCATAAGTCATAGAACTAATGGACATCCTTGTATATGACGACACATAATCACCCTCAAGAACAATACGTAATCGTTCCCTGTATTCTTTTCTTTCTCTATATCTTTTTGTCTCTATGTATCTTCTCTCTCTAGTATATAAACTCGCGTTATATGTGAAATAGACAGCAGTATAAGAAGAGTAATATTAGAGCAGTAGAAAGGCCGTTGAGTCGAGTTCACTTCTAAACAAGTCAAGTTCCAAGAAGATCGTGTGGAATTGTTGTTAATATTATACACCCAAGTGAGCAAAAGACTGGTTAAATGACTAGTCTTTTTTCTAGTCAAGTTGACCCGTCCCGTCTAGTCTTTGTCTCAAAAATTACTCGTCCACGACTAGTTCGAGGTTTTATCCGTCATGCAAATGCATCCTAGTACTCTGATTGACGACTAGTCATAAAATCTAGTAAGAGTAGTCGTGACGAGTGTCCGTGTCGCCCGTCCGCAAATGGTTTATAAATGAAAAATTAAGGGCGTCTGGGACGAGTATACAACCAGCTCGAGCCTTATATAGTGGACGAGTCTGGACTAGTCTGAATGAAAATATGTAAGGATGAAGATTCGATTCGAACATGTATGCAATGTGACACTTACCCGTCGCCAGAATCATTGAGCCATATGATCCTGAAGTCATATTCTACACACTCATGATCATTCTAAGATGTTATTTAATACAATTTTTACTCCGAATTTTTAATTTTATGTATCAATAAAAATTATCTTTTACCGAAACGCAATTACTTTAGATAACATTAAATAAAAATAAATTAAGAAGATTTTATAATTTTTTCGAAAAATATATTTTGATTTATAAGCAAGTGCGATTAATTAGTTCGGCTTTAAAAACATTAATTTGAGTATAAAAATAAAAATAATTTATACCTGGAAGAAACTAGATTTTTTCATACTATTTTTATTTTATTTCATACTTGAAAATCTCAGTACATTCATATAACAAATAATTTATTTTAGCTTAATTTAAAATTATTGCAATTGATATTTAACATAAACTAACATTATATTTTGATATGAGCGATTTAGATGCTTCTCAATTTTTTTAAAATTACCACCTATCACAATTCAAAAAAAACAATATATATATAAATTAGCACTCCTAGATACGAGATGAATTTTGTTATTAGTACTAACCCCTACTATTTTATGTTTTGATACACTCTTAAACTTTTAGCATATGCTAATGCAAAATAAAATAAAATATATCAAGACAGGGATGCACGCAATATATTAAATCTTTTCGAATGCACAATTGATGACAACAGACTCTCTAATTGTACTTCTAGGTAGAAAAAAATTCGGCAAGCATTGAGTAAAATAAACACTTCTAAAAAACGGACTAGTCATGAGGTGTCCAAAAGATGCTTCAGACTGGTCAATACCGTGTACGTCGGTTTGTTTCTCATTTTCTATGCATGGATAGGAGTCAATATATAAGTTTAGACTATATATACTTACGGCAGTCTATTTCAGTATCCTAGTCTCCCGTCAGGATGTCCGTCATATCTCAAACACTGTCGGGCTGGATGTTCAAATCCACCGTGTAACCTCTGTTTTTAATCTTCTTACTAGTCTGGACTAGATCAACAGACAACACGGACTACACATAACTGGGCTCAAGGACATTTCAGACTAGTACAGACGTGTTTGTAAGACACTCCTCAGTAAGCTGACTAGACAAGACGGGTATGCAAGACGTTTCAGACTAGACTTGACGGCAGCTGCGGACATTTCTGACTAGTCATGCTGGCAGTCCCCCTTCATTTTTTGCTTACTTGGGTTAAATCAATTCACAAAATAGAAATTTATATTTCTATATAACCAATCAACAAGAAATTTCTTATTTTCGATTCCTAATCTGAATCTTAATCTTTTCTTTATTATTCTTTTTCTTTCCTATTTATACTATACAACCCACGCACACACACACAAGAGAGAGAGAAAGAAAAGAAACAAAGGAAGAAAAGGCATTTGCTTCTTCAACTAGACTATTTTGTATATAAAGATGATGGTGCATCATTCTATAAATGCACTTAAATTCCAGTCGAAGAAACGATGCCATTATTTACGGCGTCACGCATGGGAGGACAGCAGACACAATAGAGAGATATGCAGAGAGATGACAGAAAGAATGGAAAAGAGCGGTTGACGTATGTGCATCTCGAGTTGGATTGCACATATAAAAAATACATAGCGTATAAAGACGAAACAAGAATGTATAAGAATAAATATATGAATAACTTGTTAGAGTACTCTCTAACACTTTCGATAGGGCTTATGAATATGCAGCGTATGATACACCCTTTTAAAGTTGTTCAGTCGCATAAACGCTATGATAACCCTTTTTATTTCACCTTTTGATGAGTAGATAAAAGGGTTTATCGCATGCTGCTAAACGGTAGAAAAGGGTATATCATACGTTGCATTTTCATAAACGCTTTAAACGTTTATCATTCGGCGCTTTTTTTATCAGTGTATGGTCTTGGGTACAATCATACAGACAGTTATCCGATTTATAAACAATCAAAATCTAGAAAGAAAATCAACTAACATACTTTTCAACCAGCTCACATTCATAAATAAAAAATTGAGACTGAAATCTGATTGAAACGAGTTAAGCAATTTTTTTATTTTTTATAGTAATGAGGATTTAATCCATTTTGAAACGGTTTTTGTCAAAAAAGCGAAAAAATTTGAAATGTCATGAATTATAAAAATGTCACGGACTGTAATCGATTAAAATTTTATAGTAGCTAGAGTCTAACCGAGGGTGTGGATGTGGATGTTACTACAGTTTTTAATCAGACCCGCACATCCACACCCATAAATGACTGAATATCAGTTTGATTTGGGACTCATACTAGTGAATCTTTTCAAATTAGTGTTATCAGAGCTATTATTGTAGATTTTATTCAAAGGCATGCCTGATCAATATCAGCAAAATACATCGCACTCAATCAACGCCGAAAATGATGGATGGGAGACACAACATGTTCATCGGCGAAATACTGGTATGTGTAACATAGCAGATATAAATCTAGGTACCCGTAGAAATCAAATAGGATGGGATGAGCAATAACTTCGATTATTTCTCTCTTGAACAATAAACACTAATTGACACTATAATAGTCCTCCCAAAGTAAATCTATTATTTGAGAAAGAGAAACACTGCCAACGAAAAACCTCACTACTCAAATATTTTGACAAATAATATACAGAATACAAATGCTCTAAAGGTTTTTCACAAGTATACGTAACAGGATTCTGTTTTTGCTTAGGACGGTCGATTGGACAAAATTTTGGAATGAAAGTCTTTATTCTTTTCTTTATTAAACATGTTCGAAAAACGTTTTCTTAGATGACTACAATCTAGCAAATTGTAAAACTCCTCAACTTTACAATGTGCCTATTTTTACTGCATATTTAGTTTTCCCATCCGTGACTCACGCTTACAAATCGATTCGCTTTTCATAAATCTAGTACAGGTGACCATCTTGAGACCAGTTTCTGAGAAAACCAGATACATATTGATAGTTGTAACGGAGAAATATTTGGTCGCGTAAATATTCTTCAAATAACTATCGAGATATATAGAATCGCGTATATATCCTGATAGGATGACGGACAACAAAATGTGGATCAGTATTAGCTATATATTTTAGCCACTGTGTGTATAATATTAACAACAGTTCCACACGATGAGTTTATTCTTGTCCAAAATGAGTTCTGTGTGTTGTCTTTCAATACAATCGAATACAATCGTACGTATTACAAAGCACAACTTTCTTCTAACTTGTATGGTTTAGAACTGAACTCGACTCAATTGCCCAACTGTAACGAAAAAGAGAAGAAGTTTAACTCTACCGTTATACGCGGCATTGATGTTAGTTGAGCTACTTCATTCTAAATCGTTATGACAAATGGAGAGGCATAG